TGGCTCCATCTCGCACTGGGAACCTCGTGTGTACAGTTCCCAGGGGCAGAACCCCTGCCCCAGCTGCTAGTGCTCAGACCAGCAGCTCAGTGCACCCTTGAGAGGACGGACCTGGTGCGGGCCCGGGATGCATCTAGGCAGGGAATTCGGGTCCTGGGCAGCCAGAATGTGGTCTGAAAGAGGGGCGTGGGCTCTGGGAAGCCTGTCCACACTTCTCACCCCATATGAGAAAGTGTGGCCTGAGGAGGGACAGCACATCTAAAGCATGGGGCCAAGGCAGGTGGCCCCAGCTGTCCAGTCTAAAGGCCGTATTGGGCGTGGTCAATAGCTGTGGTCAGAGTCCTACCATCACCATCCTTCTATAAGGACAATGCAACTGACCATCTGTCAGCAGCACGGTTGCTTCGGAGGTGATGCTTGTACAGGAATTAGCTTCCATGGGCTGCAGTCTGGGCTGTGGATGCCTATGACTAAGGGGAGGACAGCTAGACAGGGCCAGTGAGTGGCTAGAGGACAAAATCAAGTGCTCTGGAACCGAACCTGAACCCCCGGCCTCTTAAGCCCCCGGTCCTAACCAAGTGAGCTAGCTCAGACCTAGGACAAGTCAAGGGCCAGGGTCCCATTTGTAAAAAGCTGTGGCCAACCCACACTGCTGTTCTGCAGAAATGGCCGATGACAGTGGGAAGATTGTGGGGTTTGGAGTCAGGAGACTTGGTTTGAGTCCCAGTTCTGTCCTTCGCCCACTGCATGACCTTGGGCAAGTCACCTTACACTTCTGGTGCCCAGTGGGAGGGCCTCTCAGAGGATTATTGAGCAGATTGAATGAGACATGTGAAACAGGCTTGTAAGCTTCTAAGTCTGGGACAAACGGTAGCTGCGGTTATTAATGTTTTAGAGGAGGAGGGCCGCTCAGTGTCAGGATCCTTGTTGAAAGAGTCTCCGAGATAAAGAAGGCCATGGACGGCGAAACAGAGGGTGGGAGCATGTCGGCCCTTCAGAGAAAGATCCGGGACAGAGCGAGCAATTAAGGAAAACAAGTGGGATTTATACGGCGAACCCCAGGCAGCCTTGCCTCCTCCTTGCCTAATGAACTGCCCCGCTGATGGGACCCTGTCTACAATCCAAACAATGAATGTCTTGTCCAGATTTTCTGCTGCCCACTGACAGATCTCAGGTTGGAGAGACCAGGGATATTTTGATACAGTTCACACACTAAGGAAAGGCAGTAATGCCTCATTACCCCCGCAAATACAAGTACAATACAGCCAATATGAATCAGCTTCCGGGAGGGAGGGAAGGTTTAGCGCTGAGAACCATGGCATGAATGAATGAATGAATGAATGAATGGAAAAGTGAGTCAGTGAAGTGAACCAGCATACAATTAGGGACCTATAGGCTACACTTCATTCTTAGAGGTTCTGTTTCAGAGGTTTTCTCATTTCTAGAAATCTTATCAATTTGGGATACTGTTTAATGCAGTTAAGATCTAATTATTTTCATGCCGGCTGACCAGAATCAGTTTTAATCTCTTGCTTTTTAACCAGATGTATAATCTTAATTGCCAGTGCCGCATGCCCTATTATTGAAATAGCCCCCAAACCCTGCCTTTGTGATTCCCTGTGACTGATTTCTGACTTTGAAGGGTCAGCATGACCCTGGATTTAGACTTCCTATGCCCTTGATC